TTTTTTTTTTTTTTTTTTTAACCTTCCAATTGTTAGGCTAATATTTCTTTCCACAGAACCCTTCGCTCTAAAGAACATTACACTATTTTGCTAGGTTTCTGAGACACACGAAATGAACACAGGTGAAGAAATTTGAACAAAACGGAAATAGTCAAAGAATCTGTTAAAGCGATATTAACTTTGAAAATCCAATCACTCTAACTTTTGAAGCAATTGTATTTGTTGGAAATGTTTTTCCGCCCTAAAAACCTCTGTGGAAATACTCGTCAGAAGTAAGCTTTAAAATGATCGCGGGTGTTTATACGGGTATGTGCATTCCACGGACCTGTTAACACTACTTTTAGTCAAGGTGAATTTTACATGTGTGAAATTGGAACGTGTTTTCACATTTTTTGTTTTTGTTGTTAGTTTATTATGTTTTGTTACTTGGATGTAGCTTTATAGATACTCGGGAAATGTACTAACTTATATATAATTAATCTTAAAAGTTTGTCTTTCCCAAAAACATCTCCACCAAAGCCTGTGATTTCACGAATTTAATACCAGACTTGTTAAAATAGCCACAATTATTCAAATGCTTACAAAATATGTTTAAATTACTAGGTTTTTAAATTCATCAAGCAAAAAACTAATTTTATTTGACCTACGATAGGCACCATTTAGAAATGAATTGGCTATTTCATTTACAACACTATCCGTTTTGTCCTCTGCTTTACACGTTCTTTATTGTTTGGTATGAAACTAATTTTTTCCCTTTGTTTTTTTTGTTTTTTTTTTTTCATGTTCTATGAGGCCACTATGCACATCAGCATACAGTAAAGTGGTGCTGGGTCTGTTTTAAAAGTTAAATATACAGCTGTATTAAACAAACAGTACATGTGACGTATTGCATTAATACTTTTGTTCTATACTTTGCCTCATTTTCTTAATTTCCTGTTTTAAATTATATCTCTCACTTTTAAGTTAATAAGCAATAAAAGATACTAGCAAAGTTGAAAACACTTTAAATAAGTGCAGTTCAAAGGCCCTAATACATTGCTGTAAAGAAACTTATGCGTGCCTGTGTTTATGAGAAATGAAACGCATACACAAGTTCTATCCCAAGCTTGAAATTTATGAAAGCCATTGCCTTCCAGAAACCCTTACCCTATATCAGGGAGGAACTGCAAGAATACAGGAAACCACGGCATTTGGAATGCTTAATATCTGATTCAGAAATTGAAAATATCCCCACTGTGTTTCATCTGAGAGGTGGGGCTCTGGTGACTTGTTTTTTGTTTTTGTTTTTATGTTTATTTATTCTTGTAAGAGAGAGAGACAGAACAAGAGCAGGGGAGGGGCAGAGAGAGAGGCAGACACAGAATTGGAAGAAGGCTCCAGGCTCCGAGCTGTCAGGACAGAGCCCGACGTGGGGCTCGAACTCAGGAGCCGTGAGACCATGACCTGAACTGAAGTCAGACGCTTAACTGACTGAGCCACCTAGATGCCCCTGTTTTTTTTTTTTTTTTAAGTTGCCTCACCTCACTGGAACAATTCTTCACTCCAGGAGGAACGTCATTGTAGTTCTTAAAACTTTTCTGAAACTCTGAAAACTGTTTAGCATTTGGCCAAGAAGTTCTCCTTGCTTCTCAGGAGATGGGCACACGTTTCACTCCAATCGCATAAGCTAAGACACCGAGACACCCATTCGGAATGGAAATAAAGTAGAAGAGGTCTAGCATCAGAACTGATGCTGGCCCCCATCATTGCAGGATCAGCCAGCCCCGCCCTGAGCTAATGGCATCTCCACTTTCCAGAAGTGGAAAATTCTTGCCTTCAGGTCCCTCACTTTCCAGGAAAATGGAGGAAAACAAAACAAAATGGGAACTTTTCTTTCTGCCTAATGAGAGAGAGCATTGATGGTGCTGTCCCATCCCTGAAGACGGACACCTTTACCCTTTACCCTCCTGATCTCACGTGAAAGGGATGGAGTGTACTGCATGGAAGATTTCATCTCCCTTTTTTCTAGGTTCTGTTTTGGCCTCCCCTCTCTCCCAAGGATGGAGAAATGGGTGAAGATCAAAGTTTTGCAGAGAGTTTAGGTAAAACTCCTAAAAAGAGAATCTTTCTCCCCAGACATCTTCCACCAGAATCCTAACCATCTGCTTATCTGTCTAGTGAGGACCCCTGGAGGGCTGCCAAAATGATCAAGGGCTACATGCAGCAACACAACATCCCCCAGAGGGAAGTGGTCGACGTCACAGGTCTGAACCAGTCACACCTCTCTCAGCATCTCAACAAGGGCACCCCCATGAAGACCCAGAAGCGAGCAGCCCTCTACACCTGGTACGTCCGAAAGCAACGGGAGATCCTCCGACGTAAGTGCTTTAATCCCCCCTCGACCTCAACCTGTGGTGACCTTTGCCCTGATTCTGACCCCCGTGGGATGCCTCAGTTTCCCCTTCCTTGAGAAGGCCTACACAGCACTTGGCAAATATAAGGAAGCTGGCAGGTGGATTTGGTTTCCATAGTTATTGTACAATGGATTGGCTTCAATCATTTTCTTTTCCCATGGTCCTTACTACCCAGCCAGCTACCTTGACAAGTGCTTAGTGTATGTAGTGTACCTTGAATTTTCTGGTCCCCGCTTCCAACACCCTTCTCTTTGAAGCCAAGTAAGTCACAGTGGAATATTGTCCCCCAAGTCAGCCAAGCAGCTCCCCCTTGATATATAACCACAGATCCGAGTTTCCAAGGAAGACATTTTGTAGCAATCAATAATATTGATCACTGTTCCTGTTCTCTTCCCCCCCTCCTCTGAAGAGAGCATACAAAATTGAAGATATTTTTATATATAGATGTATTCAGAACTCGACCCTGATATTTGGGAGGGCGGGGGGAGGGTGCGCGTGCATCCTGAAGCAACTCAAGGCGATTACTCACATTTACCAAAATCCATAAAGCTTTGAGACTTGAGCCAGTGACACTGCCTGATGAAGAAGCTTCTCTGGCTAAATCAGGACACAGCACAAGTGTCTGCATTTGGAATTCTGACCGATCAATACTTGTCATTTCCATCCCCATCCTCAAATCTCCTTTCTGTCCCAACATCCCTTCCTCCTAGTAATACCAAGAGATTTTTGTTTTGAAGTGTCAGGAAGTTGCAACAGCATTTGAATGATATTCTATGTTTATTTTAGGACAGCATATTTTCATTATCTTTTAATTATTTCCATCAGCCCCTTTCCTAGTAAAGTTTTGTATGAGCTTCTGCCCTCCCCGTTATACTATCCTCTGGGCCGTGGGCTTCTCTGTCTTTAAGATATCAGTTTCCACTGCCTTCTGGGTTGGAATTTCTCCCTTCTCACTGGATGGCCACTTTTTAAAATCATTCTTGTTTTCTGTCCTACACTGCTCTGAAGTGATTGTTTCAGTATTTATGGTCTCAATGTCTGTGGGCTGGAAAGGCCTTCATGGCAGAAGGAAAGGTTTTAGACCTCCATCTCCTATTGTGGCTGCTTGTCTGAAGCATTAAATGGATAGATTAGAAGAAGCAAAGCGGCATAGGAAAAGAGGCCCACTCTGGGTTGACTCACCATCCATGGTGACTAGGTCTTTAAGAATTTGTGTGTCTGACATGAAGCAACTCTCTGTAATTCCTGAAAAGGCCTAGAACATTCTCAGGAGACACAGTCTCCGAAGGCCAGGGAACCGTTGGGCCTGCCCTCGCTCCAATCCAAGCCCCATGTGGTGTCTCCAGTTTGAGCTGCCTCTCTGTGTTCAGTGGGGAGTCCCCCCAGAAAGGAGAGGGAGACAGGAAAGGCCAGCTAGAAGCTTTGAAAAGCACACAAGTCCTAGAAAGTTTCACCACATGCTTGAGAAGAAACATTTTACAAAAACATATGACAAGCTCTGCCAGGGATTTTTTGAGTTATTGTTATTACTGTTTTAAAGCCACATGAGACCTAAACCTTAAGAAATATTCCTTCATTCTGCAAATACTGTATGAACATCTATTAGGTGCCAAACACTGTGTGGGGCTGTGAGATACAAAGGCCCTCTTCTCCAGGGACTTACAGCCCAGTGGGGGAGATGATATGTTTGAGTGGATCATGACAGCAGCTTTCTAAGAGCTGTTATAAAGGTGTACACAAGGGGCAGCAGAGGAACTGCTAAATTGCCTAGAGACCTCACAGAGGGCTTCCTAGAGGAGGTGATGTTGGAACTAATTCTTGAAGGATGAATATAAGACATGTAAACATGGGATAAAAATTAGGAAATGAGATGAATAAAAGAGAGACACAAGTGAATGGGGTGTCTGGAAGGAGAAAGAAGTGGGAGAATTTAAAAAGATGATACATGGGTGCCTGGGTGGCTCAGTCAGTTAAGCGTCCAGCTCTTGATTTTTGGCTTAGGTCATGATCTCACGGTCATGAGATCAAGCCTTGAGTCAGGCTCTGTGCTGACCGTGCGGAGCCTGTTTGGAATTCTCTCTCTCCCTCCCTCTCTGTCCCTCCCCCGTTCTCAAATAAATAACCTGAAAAAGATTACATAAATTTTCTTGAGAAACTAAAACTAATAAGTGATAATATTCATGGGCCCATCTGCACATAGAGAACCTGCTTGTCCAAACTGGCTCTGAGTCTGTAAAGAGGCTGTTGAAACCAGCTTCTCCAAGGTAATTTTTATGGGCAGTGAACATTTTCTGTCTCTCCGCTCCCCTCCCCCCACCCCGCATTAATCTAGAAGGAAGTGGAGGAGAGGTGGTAGAGGCCAGAGTTTGCTTCTTCAAAAATTGAGAAGCTAGGGCCCTGAGGTGGGTAGAGCCTGGATGGTTCTGGGCCCCCACAGGCAATGTATCAAGGCTGATCCCGGCACACACATAGTTCTGAACACAGTGCCAGTGGCTGCCCCCTCAGAGGACAGCCCCGCGCTTCTGGGCGGCTGAGTGAGCCTCACACCTGCCACAGGCAACAGTGGAGTCCATTGTATTACCTCCACCCAAGTCAGATTGGAAGGTTTTGGGCATGTATTGGTTGGGTTTTGTTTTTAGCAAGAGATGATGCATAGGCTGCTGATAAGGAACTTCGTGTCTTTAGGCGGGGTTATGTCCTGGCTGATGCCCCACATTCATGAGACTTCGGGCAGGTCCTGTAACCAGTCTGAACCTCTGTTTCTTCAGTTACAAAGTGGAGATAATGATACTTCTTGCATGTAGAGGTTGTGAGAACTAGACAAAGGGATATGCTTAGAGGACCTTGTATGATACCCCTCCAGGGGAGTGGTTCAATAAATATTCATGGTTATCACATCTCTTCATAGCATGTGAAGAGCCTCATGTTGATCCTGGGTCCTTGGGATTATCCATACTGGCTTTTGGCTCTTATGGTGACTCCACAGGGTCACAGTGAGGAGAGAAGACCCTGAGCGGGGAACTTCTTTCTCTCCCTCTTATTGTCCCTGAGGTAAATGCACTAGTTGGCTGCCATGAAGCCAAATGACATAAGAGGTATGAAAGCACTTTGAGAGATATGGCGTCCATAGGAATTCGGGTCCCCATCACCATCCTGACTAGAGGTAGATGTTCTGAGAGACTGTTGAGTGCCCCTTAGGTGTTCACCCAGTCCCATTCCACAGGCAGGGAAGCTGAGGGCAGGGGGGAATTAGGTGACTTGGCTGGGACCCGCCAGTATCCAACCGAGGCAGTGGCTTCCTGCCAGTAGATTTGGCAGAACTTTCTCTCAGGTATCTAAAGCAAGTGTTGGGAACCAGTGAAAACACCACTTCAAGTAGCCTGAGAATCATCCAAAGTGGGTGGGGCCCAAATCAAAGGCCCCAGTGACATGTTCGGTCCATCCACCGAGGAGTCTGCTTGTACCTTGGCCAATCGGCAACCGGTTCAAACAAAGCCCAACACCACCTATCGCTGAGTCCTGAGTCCAGGCTGGTTAGAGGCCCACTGCTTCTGAAGATGGAACCAAATGGAAATGGATCCTTAGATTGGTAGTAAGTTCCCTATTGCCGGAGGGAATAGACTGGAAAACCACATGGTAGGGTGTTGTCAAGGGGATTCAAGCATTAAATAGTAGCCCCGACTTTGAACCTTGGAGAATTTTGGATCAAGTTGCCTCTGAGACCTGCAGGAGGGACTCTAGGAACGAAGAAAGGAAAACATCAAGGTCCAGAACATGGGGACCAGGAGTTAGGAAATGAATCTGTTATGTGTCCTTGCTCAGCAGGGCGGTTGGCCTCTATGCTTATTCATCTGTAAAATGGAACTAATGACCCTGAACCCTGCTTCATGCAGATATGAGGAGGACAACAACAAAGTTCGCCCACAAGTAAATATCAAACCTCATTTAAACCATATAGGCTAGGGTGTCATCACTGGGTGAGCTGCCACCTTTCATTCATTCATTCAACCAAAAATGTATCGAGGGTCACTGTGTACCTGGACCCTGGGAATTGGGTGGACAGGGAGCATCATTTCATCTATATTTATCTTTCTCCAACTCATTAAATGCCATTGCTAGAAAGATCCTGTGTCTGTAGACTTGTGCATGTGCCATCTTTTAAATGTGTAGGCAAGTCTGTGAGACATTTCCCTCTGGGGCTATTTCCCTCATAAATGGACCCCTGGACACACACATACACACCATCACCTTTGAAACGATCTGAAATCAGAGAGCTTCTTCTCTTTCTAATATAAAATTCCAGTTCTATTTATTTCAAAGTACCAGTCGACAGGTTTGAGTCCTGGTTTTTCTAAGAACATAGCATCATAATGTGGACCCCTAGGATCTATGAGGAGAGGGGAGAGGTGGGGAAAGCTGTTTTTAGTCTCTGAATATTTTGTCTAAGTGCAAATTGTACCTTTGAGCCCTTTCCCTCTAGACCTGAGACTTGGTTGAGCTCATCCTCTTGGACACCAAAACACAAGATGTCAGGATTCAGAGGGTTGCTTCATTGTCTGAGAGCCAGTGATCCAATGAAAACACATTACCACTAAAAACAATGGTTGGTCATATTTGAGCTCCTTTAAAGACAGGAAAGGGGTGGCTTTGTGGGGCAGACTGAGGTGGGCAGAGAGGAGCCTATCATGGGCTTCCCCTCCGTACCCCACACCCCACATGTAATAACGGCAGATGGCAAAGCTTCGGGGAGAAGAATAAAGGTGTTTTTGTCTGTCCGTCCGTCTGTCTGTCTGTCTGTCTGTCTGTCTGCCAAGTGAAGGCTACAGACCCTATCAAATCTACTCCTCTCTCTTTGCAGAATTCAACCAGACAGTCCAGAGTTCTGGAAATATGACAGACAAAAGCAGTCAGGATCAGCTGCTGTTTCTCTTTCCAGAGTTCAGTCAACAGAGCCAGGGGCCTGGGCAGTCCGATGACGCCTGCTCTGAGCCCCCCAACAAGAAGATGCGTCGCAACCGGTTCAAATGGGGGCCCGCATCCCAGCAAATCTTGTACCAGGCCTACGACCGGCAAAAGAACCCCAGCAAGGAAGAGAGGGAAGCATTAGTGGAGGAGTGCAACAGGTAACACGACCAGAAACTCGCTCGAGCAGGCAGGCAAGCACACGGACCTGAGATCCATCCCCTCAGTCCCAGGATATTGAAATACTGATTATCCAGCTAAGTGTGGCTAAATTGGGGTTTCCCAATGTGTGTTCCACGGAACCCCGATTTCAAGTCAAATAAGACTTGAATAAGTCAAATAAGTCTCAAATAATTTGAGAAACATCAGATGCATACTTCCTCTTGGGGAGTCATGGCATAAAGTAACATATTAAAGATTCCAAGAAGGCCTAGAGTCAAGAGACTTACTTGGCTTTGTTGAATTGATTGTTAGCTGTGGAATCTTTTTTTTTTTCTGGGGGATATTTACACCATGAGCTATTATTGCAGGGAAGATACTCTGGAGAGTCTAAAATATGCCAGTGAAATGAGAATCATGTGTCTGACCTCCATGCAGACTAGGGAAAAACCATTGGTCTAAAAGGAAACTTGGCAGAAAAGACCTGGTCAGATCTGTCCAATCCACTCTGCCCACACTGAATAGAGTTCTTTTGGTATCTTAACAACTGCATGTAATTTTAAAGAAAACTATTAGAAATCCTTGGGATATCTTATTTATTCATTCATTCATTCCTGCCATCCTCCCTGACACCAACATTGATTTTTTTTAAGTTTATTTATTTATTTTGAGAGAGAGAGAGAGAGAGCGCACTTGCATAAGTGGGGGAGGGGCAGAGAGAGAGAGAATCCCAAGCAGGCTCCATGCTGTCAGCATGGAACTCAATATAGGGCTGGAACTCATGAACCATGAGATTCAGACCTGAGCTGAAACCCAGAGTTGGACACTTAACTGATTGAGCTACCCAGGTGTCCCTCCAACATTGACTTTCTTAAAAGTCTGGTCTTTGCTCTGGCCAATACCTGTGGTCTCTCTGTTTCTGGGCTGGGCTGGCTCTAGCAATAACATATGGCTGGGGAGGTCAGGCCAGGAAGGGGGAGGCAAAGCAATCAGCTTGGACATGTCACAGCCTATACTCTGTCCCCCTGCTAATGAGAAGCCCCCTAGCATCCAATGGTGTCTAAAAGTCTCTCTGACACGTGGAATTGGGGTTTCATGGGCAATGATAAAGCTGGAGACCAGCCACCTCGGCATGTTCTCCTTGTACCTCACCCAGCCTGCCTTTTGGGGCGGATTCCTGTGGCACAAATGAGGAATTTGGTTTCCCTGGCACCCTTTGGGGGTATCCAAACCCCAAACGGCCAGAAGTCCCTTTGAAGGGAATCAGAGCTAGTGAAGGACGTCACCTTTTGTAGGTCGGGAAGGGTAGCAGCATAAGATGTCAAGAGGCCTGGTCTGGACCTTCTCCCTGAATTACCTGCCTCTCGACTACTCTCTTCTTGTAAGGTATGCCCCTCACTGACAGGGCCACAGAGCTTGTGCTGCACCTGTGTTTGGCCCTATTCCCACCATGTCATCAGAGAACTACTACACAGGCTGGACTTTTCTCATTACAGGCTTTTCCCCAGGATCTAGCTCTATCCTTGGCCTCTTCGTACCCCTAACTGAGACCACTGGGATTGTGTGTCTAGGGCCAAACACCGGCAAGCCTCCCCCTGGCTGTCCTTGCTCACCATCTCCCCCACTGTCCATCCTCAGGGCAGAATGTTTGCAGCGAGGCGTCTCCCCCTCCAAAGCCCACGGCCTGGGCTCCAACCTGGTCACTGAGGTCCGTGTCTACAACTGGTTTGCAAACCGCAGGAAGGAGGAGGCGTTCCGGCAGAAGCTGGCCATGGATGCCTACAGCTCCAACCAGACGCACAACCTGAACCCCCTGCTCTCCCATGGCTCTCCCCACCACCAGCCCAGCACCTCTCCTCCAAATAAGCTGTCAGGTAAGCCCAGCCCAGGCCTCACTGCCTCAGCAGCCCAACCGTCCTGCTTCCCGCCATGGGTCTCATCTGGGTCAAGACTTTTCAGAGGAGGAAATGCTCTGGGATGGTGCTCAGGCTGGCCTCCCGTTGCCAGAATGTTCTTGTGAAAACAGTGTTTGGCTGTGGTCAGGTTTCCTCTAAGTCCTTGCTCAGCCTCCAAGAGCCCCTCTCCCCAGTCTTCTCTGGTCCCCTTTCTTCTCCCTGTGTGGCTGCTGACTCAGCAAGTCAGTGCGGCTGTCAGATTAGACGGAGAGGCTGCCTTATTGGCATGCCAGGTCCACACTGCGGGCAGAGGGGTCACCTCCTCCACCCCTGTCCATATCCTACCCCAGGGCTCTGTCCAGCTCCAGCAGGAGGAGCCCAGGGGCCTCTGGGGAAGGGCCACTCTGTTGACAGTCTCTGCTTGTTCTCTGCCAGAGTTTGGGTGGAAACAGCCACATAAAGTCTTTGTACTGATGAATCGGCCAAAATTCATTGAGTACCTACTGTGTGCCAGGTCCCGGCCTGGATTAGCATGCCTCTGCTGTGGGGTGTGGGTTTATCAGGTTGGAAGCCCTATATGCTGAGTGTTCCATCACACATAGTCTGAAGGCACTTCTCCGCCTGGGGCTTAGTTCTTCCAGGAAAGCTGGCTTCCCAGAATTAGGATGCTTATTGAGGCCGTCATGGTGCCCGTGTAGAAAGAGTATGGCATGGTCTCCCGCCTGCTCTGGGGAAGGGCTTGCAAAAGGAGAACCAAGCACCATTTCCAACTCAGGGTTGGTTCTGAAGTCTGTTGCTTCCTTGCCTGCTGGTTGCTCCACTGCTTGGAGAGCCCTGAGGTCTGGGGCTGGCCTAAGTATTGGGGGGCCCAAGCTTTTGTTCTACTCTGTGCTCCCACCAGGATCTCTGGGAGCCTGAAACTGTCCGGCATAAACCAGGGCCAGGGCTAGGGGCTTCTCTGGATCCAACTCCCATTGAAGGGGAAGCTCAGCCACACGGGGAGTAAGTTTTGGTTACTCTTGAGAGGCAGAGGAGCCCCTGATGGACACTGGTCCGATTGCAGAGTAACCCAGTGCCTTAATGGAAATTCAAAGCAGGGTTCAGAGGGCAGTGGCAAACGGCATGTGGCCGGCACTGAGCAAGACTGGAGCACTTGCCGCCCGCAGTGATCCACGGAGCTGGCTCTGGAGCTGTGGGGGGCGTGGTTGGGGCAAGGGGCATTATTGAGGAGACAATGGCTATTGTGTTGGGACCTGTGATCTCCACACCAAAGTCAGGGAGCCTGCAAACCAAACAAAGGCCCAGCAGCTTTCTGACAAGCTGGGGTTGTGGTGAGGTCACCACAGGGTCGTTAGCTTAGGCCTTCTGTATATGGACAGGAGACAGAGAGGGGCTGGAGGGACAGGGGCAGGTCCTGGAAGATGAGCAGGGTGGGTGGAAAATACAGTCCCAGAGCCCTCTGAGTGGAGTCCCAGAAGGCATGGCCCACTTGGAGTGGGTTCTCTGGGGTCTCCCTAGATGTTGGCCTTTGAAAAAAATCATGGAATGCTAGAACTGGGCAGAACGTCAAAGAAGGAAACTGAGGCTCAAAAGAAGCAGTGACTTGCCAAAGTTATACAGAGCGATGGTGGCAGATGGGACTGGAACTCAGGCCTGCTGATTCCCACTTGGTACAGCATAGATGCACGTGTGTCCCTGCCCACAGGAGCATATTGTCGTCTTGGGAAGACATTGTGCTGGCATGGAGGGCCCAGAACCATCTAGGGACCAAGGCTGTCTTTCAGGGTATTGTGTGTCTTTCTAGGGAGAGACTCCTATTTATGGAGCATTAATTATGGGACATTGTATATTTTCAGTGGCTGCCCTTCCCCTCTGCCTTAATTTTCACTCGGGGCTCATCAGGATAGTCCTTTCCATGCCCAGAGAGTGGATGCTCTGGACTTAGTTTTGAAGCCCACATCTAGCCAGCCAGATTGATTCCCCTAACTGCAGCGTGACCCAGCCATGTAACTTCTCTGAGTCTGACTTTCCTGTCTGTAAAATCAAGAAGTCAGACCTACCTCATCGGGTCCACGTGAGGATTAAATGAGAGAATGTATAAACACCATCTTTCCCAATAAACTGTAATTGCTATCATTATCACACTTGTTATTACAGCAGTGGGAAGAAGGACTGGCAGCAGAAATCCATTTCCTTCTAAATTTCACACACTGGGGCATTATTCCTAAGAGGCAGTGACATGTGACCTGGCCCTGGGAGTGGAAGCAGAAGCGGCCACTGGGCTGGGGCCTGGGGTGCAGGATGCTGGCATGCGTGTCTGTTTCCCCCTCTCAGGTTGCCAGGGGGGGCACGTGAGGTGTAATGGGGCTGCTGGGGAACGCACCCAGGGCTAGGCCGACAGCAGGCTGGAGCCCAGCACTCAGGGAGGGCTACAGTCCAAAGAGCCTCATGGTGCACTTCCTATCATGGGCCCCACGGCCAAGGTACGCTCTCTAACGAACCCCAGAATGTACGTGGGTGTAGAATACAAAACGAGCTCTGTGGAGGCCGAGGAGAGACCAACACCCAGAGTCAGCAGCAGCACCAAACACCCTTCAAGGCTAAGCTGGGGAGACAAGGCCCGATCTCCCTCCCCCGCACTCCCTCCCCTCTGAACGCCAGCCTCTGAGCCAGGAGGACTGGAGGCACTTTAGAGACCAATCTTTCCCTTGAACCTTCTTCCTGGAGAGGAGAGCATCCCTTCCCTAACGAGCCGCCTTCTCTCCCAGCCACTCTGGGTGTGCTGTGGCCCACTTGCCCACGGTGACCACAGTGTGACCCTGGTCCTGGAATGTCCGGCACAATAGGAGTGGCAGGAGGAGCACTTTGCCTCTGTCAGCGGCTGATTGGTTACAAGGTGCCCTACAAACACGCTGTCAGCAGAATCAGCTGTTTTCTGCGTTGCCCCTCCCGGCTTTACAATCACACACCAGCATGCAGCCCAGGGTTGTCATGGCTTTGTCTCTCTTATGCATGCTTAATTGCCAATTAAGTTGGGGCTTTGAACCAGCCTGGCTGCCGCTGATGGGCCTTCATCTTTCCAGTGAGTGTCACAGGGGCACCCTTTGTTTGCTCTTCTTGGGGGCCTGAAGTTACTGTAGCAGGCTGCAGGCGGCCATTTATCTTCAGCCTGGAAGGCCTTTATCTGCACACACACCCCCCTCCCAGCCCTGCTCTCGCCAGCAGGAGCTGTCCCTGGTTATAGGCCCCATGACAGCCCATTCTGAGGCCATTGAGCAGGCCCGGAGTGATGGCCCCTACCTCCATTCTGGAGTGGAATCAAGAGAAAGGCCCCCAAAAGGTCAGAGAGCAGGGCTGTGGCGAGGAAGGGGACTGGTTGGAGACAGGTGCTTGTATTGATTGGCTCGAGGAGGAGGAGGAGGAAGTTGGCGTGGAATGGAAGTTGGGCTAGCCTTGGCCCAAGCCTTGGGGCCAGGCTGCATGATCTGTGGTGGCCTGGCTCACTGTACCCTTTGCTGCAGCCTGCAGCTGTCTGCGACAGCAAGGGGGGAGCGGAAGGTCTTCATCAGCTTTCATTCAGCCAACACATCACGTCCTCACTCTTCTATCATCTTTTGGGAAGGAGATTGAGGCTCATTCTCCCAGAGGTGAGAGGAAGCCCTTCCAGAAGAATCTTTGGGTACCCTGATGGACAGCCTCTTTAAGTGGAGACCTTTATTTCTGTGGCTGCTTACTCCTGCTTCTCTTGCCCTTTCTCCAAGCCTAGTGGACTTGATGGTCAGATCAGAGCTTGAAACTCAGAGAATCCTGCCTCCCACCTCCCCCTTGTGGCCTCTCGCATGCCCTACCAAGTCACCCACAAGAGTCCAAAGACTGAGTCTTAGACAAATCAAACTCTGGGCCAGGATATCTGTGTGGTTGCTGCTGCTGCTTTCCCTGATGCTGAAATCTGTAGGACCCAAAGAAATCTCAAAAGTGCCCAACGGAAGGGTTATGGCTAATGTGAATAATCATAACAGCTAGTATTGATTAAATATTTCCTGGGTTCCAGCCCCTGCGCTGAGCGCCTCCATGCATCATCTTATCTAATTCTCATGACAACCTTGTAGGGTAGAAACTTTCTGTACCCATATCCCCATTTTACAATCAACGAAGGTGAGATGTTTGGAATGTAGATAATTTGCCCAAGTTCATATAGTTAGCAAGCAGTAGAGACAGGTTTTGAACTATTACACACTGACCATCTCTTCTGCTTTATGCAGATGCTAAGAACTTTTCAGGCATGGAAACCAACACACACACAATACCCCCACAGTCCCTTCTTTTCCCACATTCTTATTGCTCCCCTCTGAAAGACAAAAGGCTTTAGGAAAGCATGGCCAAGGATGGGGGTCTCCCAGTCTGGCTAGTTTACTGCTTCCCCTGCACCAACTGTTGCCCCTGACCAAGGTAGATTCTGCACTCTGCAGAAAGAGATGTGAGCCCCCTCTTCCACCACCCCATCCCCATCTGGGCAGGGATTTGAACTGCCCTTGCATTCGGCACTGTCTGGGGCACTAAATGCCTTAACAACTTAATGGGGCTTCTGAGACAGCCTGGTCACCTCAGCTCACCTCTGAAGCTCCGCCCCCTCCCCGGGCAGCAGACAAGGGGCGGGGCGTTTATGAGGGTGGTCGTAAAAATATTCATCTCGGCAGCAAAGGTCCCCATAGTAAATAAGCCCTATTGTCCCAAAGTAGCAGCTTATTTCAGTTCAGAAAAGAAACAAATGCCACCTTGAAACATCTGGTGTTTTAGGAAACCCTTTTGTACTGACTGGGAGTCCAGGGGTGGACCTGGCTCCACGGTTCTCCTTCAGAAGGACTTTATCTGATGGCCATTTTATCTGCTGAATTTGAAGGTCATTTTATCTTGCGGTACCACCCCATCGGCTGCCGCTAGATTGAGGAAGACAATCAGGATATTAATGAGATTAAGAG